GCTATGGGGTCCTGATGGGAGGTGGTGGGCAGTAAGGTTTAACGCAGCCGAATTTAAAGAGTAGGTAAAATACGTTAGACTTGATGCCATAGATCAGGGGTCCTCAAACTTTTTAAACAGGGGGCCAGTTCCCTGTCCCTCAGACTGTTGGAGGGCCGGACTGCGGGCCCCGGGACGAGTCAGCTGCTAAGCAGGACAGGCAGCGGCGGCAAAAACAGCCGGTGGGCCGGATACATGTCCTAGGTGGGCCACATGTGGCCCACAGGCCATAGTTTGATGACGCCTGCCATAGATAAAAAGGAAATAGTGTAGGCTCCCCAAGAAACATGTAAGAGAGTGATATCAGTCAGAAAGACTGGCTTTCTTGGAACTTAATCCCTTGCAAACAGGACTTAAACTTTTCTGAGAAATAAAAGTCTAAATAATGAATGAATAATAAAGAAGGATTAGTAAGAAAAGAACTGAAGGTTCTTCCAAAAGCTGAAGGTTTTTAAAAATTCCCTTCTGGCATAACTAAGGGATAAACCAGTTCAAATGAAAGATGTCACTGTTACTAAAACGTCATTTATTGAATGATGTTTCATGTGAATAGAGCGTATTTTTAAGATTATGTGGCTATTATATAAGTCAACGTCATTTTCAGGGTCTGGAAAATTGATATTAATTTCATGTCATTGAAAATGTAACTGAGTTTATTAAATTAATTTCTCAAAAACCACCTGATAGCCACCAGATGGCAACCTGATTTGATGTCAAATCAGAAATTTAAGTTATGGATAGCCCTGAGACTACGCATTACCCCTCATTCATTTCCTGGGGTTCTTTTGAAATCATGAACAAGAACGCTTTTGACTACTTTTGTAAATTCTGTTTGAACATAATGAAACATTCTCTCCCCACCATGCTTAACAATAATTAAAGTTCTGTTCTTAATGGGAGCATATCTGGAAATAGCACAATACAGAATGATTATTAGTGGACCTTCTAATGGACCTGAATAAATGCCTATTGAGAGCACAGGCACACATTAGTAAATTTCCTAAAGAAAATCCATTTTCATTTCAAATTCTGACATTTTATTGAGAAAAATTACACCCTTTCTTTTAATTATTTCAGTAAACATAATGAAGGTATTACTAACTATACCTCAGAGTACTTTATTTTCTCCAATTTTTTAGTAATATGAGCCTCCTTGTAATTAAAGGCATGCTGTATTAATGATGCTGAAAGTCTCCCAGGGAAACATTTAATGTCCACCTCATAATATTATGCCAAAATTACATGCACAGAAGACTTTTTAATAATCTTTGTTTTCTAATTTAGTTTTGATTGGCTCTGAAATCCACAGCGGCACTCAAGGGCTTCCATTTCTCCAGTCATCAGCACTTCTGTGCCATAAATTGTACAAACACACATGACTTCTTCCGTCTGCAGGCCTCTTTTCAAAGCTTCTGTTTAGCTTATCCCGAAAATGAGCTGCAGGCTAAAGATAATTGCAGATAATTTTGCCATTTTTAAGCCACTGGGGTGTTCTGCGGGGATATGACAGCTGATTTGTCTAAACACAAAGCACAAGTCAGAGCTCTGCCTTGTCCCTTCAGCTTTACGCGCAGGTTCAGATCATCCTATCTGCTCTTTATGCAAATTGATACAAATTGTAGCTTCTAGATGATCTGTGTTGCCTGACAAATCCAAGCTACCTGAGGCTTTTCATGGGGCTGACTGGATAGAATCTATACCCATGTGTTATTCCAGCCAACCACCACCACAAAAAACAAAACCAAAAACCATGGTTAACCCTCCTGGACCCCTCAGGTTCTTAAGAACAGCAACCATCTTTTTCAGACACCATCACCTTTCAAAGAGCATAGGCAATTAAAAAGAAAATGTGGGGTTTTCAGTATACACAATTCATACATACATATGCATGTTGATAGGAAAACCAGTGTTTATAAATACCGATACAATTAACGGAGAACAAATTAACATTACTTCACATTGACGATTTTACGTCAGTGAGGTTAATCAGCAGAAATCTATTGTTAAATGGAATCGTTACGCTCCTTTCTTCCCTCAGATTTCATTCTATATGGAAGTAAATGCGACATTCGCGGATAGTCACTGGCACGGAATGAAGCGGATACAAAAGGCGGTGAGGTGGACTCTTCATGCAATGCCAACAAACTTCAACTCTGTATTAAAGAAATAGCCTATGGAAATTACAGGGCATTTCTCTCACCAAAATGTCCCCTCGGTGCTCAGAATTTCTATAGTCACAGCTAATCAGGGTGTCACTAGCCGAGCAACGGATTATTGAAAGCATTTTGCAGAAAACATTTACATATAGGGGCTAAGTGGCGCCTGCGCTTATGTGGCAGCTACCCTGATGTAATAGGCCGTAACGACTCTGAGGGAGCAGGTGTGGCCGTGAGTGTCTAGGGGCCGAGAACCCGTAAGTCATAACACAAAGGACTTTATGGATCCCCATTAGACCCTGGGCTAAGGAGCACCAAACAGGTCTGACATGACAGCACCCTGAGATAGTTTTATAGCCTTGTGTCAGGAACCCTAAGGCTGAAGAGTTTTATGGAAAAACCCAAAAGTGCAGAGAGGAAGTGTTGCTATATCAGGCCATTATCATTGACTTGGCATATAATATGCATAGAAATAGTCCCAGAGTGTGTATTTCAAGGATAGATTATTAAATCTGTTGTACCCGTCACACACACATGAAAGAATACAAATTAAGCATTGATAAGTAACATCTCACAAAACTTACAGGCCCCCTTGAAAAGCCATTCTCCTGCAAGACAGAGGAGGCAGCAAGGTTAAACGCACCAAGGTTTCTGCAGGTCTGCACGACACTAAGATGCAGTCTTTTAAAAGACCGCCTTGGGGAGTTTCATGTGAACTTGTAACGCATAGATGTCTCGAGAAAGATGAGGGATCCCATTTTAGTTCTTGTTTCCCATTTGGTCTTTAACATCATTCAGCCACTCTGCTAGGAATGGACTTGTTTAAGAACCTTAGACCATATCCTTTGGAAGGGCAGTCATGGGAAGTTCTGTGATGTGCCCTTTCTGCTTGTGATGAGAGAAAGGGACATGCTGAAGACGCCAAGCAAACCCTTCCAAATGATGGACAGGAGTAAAGCCGTAGAAGCCTTCTCTGACCAGAGGTTGAGATCAAGGGAGCTGTCCAGACACACCACGACCTCAACACATCACACAGGGACTACACAGGGGAAGAGGCTCCCTGAGAGAGGATGCTTGCTGTTTTACTTAGCTCTCTAAATTATTAAACAATTCCAGAAGAGGCATATTGTTGCACGTGTCATATAAAATAATCTATAGAACTAGAATGCTCTCAACATGAAAGTTGCCTCGGGACTCTGCTGTAAGGAGTGGAAGACTGCACAGCCTGTCACCCAAACAGCAATTTCAGCCCAGATTTGCAATGAGATCTTAAATTTGACCTTTTCTAAGAAACTATTAAAAACCTTCTACAAAGCCAACAAATGTCTCTTCTCCTTTAAAGATTTCTCATAGTTTTGCTAATATTTTTGAATAAACACCTTCTCTGGAAGTCTCTGGTTTCTAAAACACAACATCTTTGCAAAGCACATACCTGTTTCCCAGAGAGACGGGTCCTCTTGTTGAAATATTTAGTCTTTCAGGGCACTTTAGTCATAGTGACACCTAATAGCCAAGCTCTTTTTCTCACTCTCCACAAAATCAGGTTTAGACTATAATTCAAACCAGTCCCCAAAGGCACTTCTGAAAAATGGCAAGCCCTTAGCTTTTAGGTGAAAACACTCTTTATTGCTCAAAATTGTTTCCTATTACAAAACTCTAAGTGCTAGGTCTAAGATGATCTTATGCTAATTTAACTCACTTGGGACTGTGAACAGATGCTCCTTTGATTAATAGTTTCACTATCCTGAAAATGCCAGGCCAGGTTCAAGTTAATAAAATCAGGTAAGAATACCATTAATATCTGCTATACAATTATATCTGTTACATGAATAAAAATGGGATCACAGTTCTTGTATCAAATAAAGACTACACATAACTGAAAAGAAAACAGAAACCAAATAAACCCACTGTTCAAATTCCTTAGCACATTAATTTATACCATTGTAATCACCAATTGCTTCACTAATACTTTCTAAGTACATGGTCAGCTATGCCCTTCGTGAAAATTCATAATGTCACTCCAACGTTGCCTTTTCACATAGTATTTAACTTTCTACCTGAAAAAAAATTTACATACACCCCCAAGAACACTGAATTTTGTAAGTCTCCTTATCCAAGGGGTAGTATCTGAATTTGTATGCCCCAGCTCATTACTTTTTAATAAATATATTTCCAGCCCTCCAGTGGTCATCTTTACCTCCAGAAAACCACAACCCTTGAAAATAAAGGAGTTGGCAAATAAGACTTTTCCTCAAAAGCTCCTCACGAGGGTTTTAGTCCCTGTCTCCTCTGCTTTTCTTCTCAGTGGTCTCCTAGTTAGAACTTCCAAATCCCATCAGCTTCCTGATGAAGAAAACCATGAAATCGAATCTAGCCTTGAACTACAGAATTTGGGACCAGCCTTACACACGTGTGTGAGGAAATCCATGTGTTTTTAGTTGGTTTGCCACCGGATTTTATCCTTAACATAACAGAAATGCCCTAATCATATTCCCAGCCTCCAATCAAATGTAACCTTCCACTGGACTTTTTCCTTTATAACACATATATTACACCTGCCTCAGTGGAAATTTTAGGTTGCAGGGAAGCAGAAAGTGAGCTCCCGTGCCTCAATCAAGAGGGCAAACTTGAACTCCAGGTCGTGGGAGCCTCCACTGAGAACGAAGCCAGCCAGTGAACACAAACCTGCCAGCTGCAGATTCAGCTCATTGCATCAATTAAGCCTTTTTACTCACCGCATCTGTACGCCTATGCAACTAGACCCGATGTCTTACATGATATATTCTACTCAAAAAGTTGCCTCACCATTGCACAGAATGTCTCAGGGGGGTCTCCACAGGTAATATCCGGAGGATCCAGCTTCACTTTCAGGTACTTGGTCATGTCCGTGGATTCCGGCTGACAGGCCATGTAATCCCAAACTTTCCCTTCTTCCGTGTAAATCTGAGTCTTACACACATCGTAATGTCCCCACACCAAAGGGTAGGGCTGCATCACCGAGGACACTGTAACCCAAAGGGCGTGAATCGAGAGGAATCTGGACAAATACATCTCTAAATCCTTTATAATCTTCGAGGAAACTCAAGCAGTTTGCTTTATGGTCTGTGTCTATTTTAGAAATACATATATAGAGATATATATGGTGTCTCTATGTAGGTAGGTCTGTATGTTAAAAACAAAACAGAGGATGGGCTTTCAAAGCTGATTCTGAAACCAAATGGGAAGGGTGAGGAGACTGTGCATTTATTGAGGACTTTGGTGGAAGCCTAACATGCTGGGGTGTTAGGCCGTAACAGCGACTTGCAGATTTTTCTTTGTCCTAAAACATAGCTATGAAATAAACTCGGGTCTAGTTTGGTTTTTGTAAAAGATGTCCAGTCGCAGACAGTCACTGAGCAAAGTGATGGCTGTCCCGTAGTGCAGCCAGTAACCCTGAGTGGTCCTCGCAGGGCACAGTTCGTGGGGGGTGCTCAGGGGCACAGAGACATCAGCATCTGACGCAGAAGGACGGGAGTCCGTAGGCCGGTATCTGTTTCCCATCAATCATGCTTCTCTTCTGGCACCAACACCCTTTTAGAAACAATAAGAGTAAGAGTTATTGTCCCAGAATCAATGCATTACCAAACGTATGACATGTTGACATTTTGAAGGTTTGATGCAACGTAAAGCAAATTGGTGTAATATGGATCACCTTTCCTCAGCTGCTTGGCTAGAATGAGCAAACTAGAGAAATCATTTATGTGGGGGAGAATCTCCCATACAGAGTTTAACTCTTCCAGAACAAAGATAGATGTGTGTGTGCCAGGTGAGTTTCAGATTTACACTTCAAAAATGGTATTTCCATCTTGGCAAAACTGAGAGCAAGTAGCTGGATTTAAACATTTCTCACACATTGCAGTGCTAGAAAATCCTCCAGGGGCACAATGAGGGACATGGACGCTTTTATAACCATGACAAGGGAATGCCAACCACTTGTAGGCCCTTTTGTCTCTTGGCAATGAGACCCTAAAAAATCTCCAAATTCCTCGTATGTCTCTTAGATTTGTTAGCTCCAGTGAAAGCCAGCGTTGTTTGTAGGAGTCCCTCCCTGTGGCTTAGCAGAATTGGGAGAATTTTGTTTAGCTGCATTTAGTGAACAAAATAACTTGGGTCACTGAAAAAAAAAATTCAAAAATAAAAGCAAAGGAGCAAATTTTCCTTTCATACGAATTTTCTATTTGCTAACATCTTTTTATAGCCATTACATCTGCATTTGTCGTTAACTTTCTGTTACAGAAGAGAATTTGTCCCAAAGGCGAAGATTAGATGCAGCTTTAAAACTAAAAACTGGAGTAAAACGCACAATTGAAAATGCACATATAAAAATAGCTGAGGGTGAGTTAACAGGCCATGAAGCAGAATAACATGGCACTAACTCTAAGAGAAAATAAAAAATATTGTTTAGAAGTACTTTTGATTAACAGATAAGGCAGCCTACATAACTATGGGTACAAGTCACTGGTGAGTTTCACTGAGCAACTTTTCTCTTTAGAGACCACTCTCCAAATCTAAGCAAACTAAACAGAAACTAGGTGTTTTTTTTAAAAAGCATTTGTTGAATTAGTTCATTCATATTCATAGTCCTCCCATGAACTATTTTGTAAACAACTCAAAAGGGACCAAAAAAAGCCTACGGGTTTGGAAAATCCCATTCCAGACCCTTCAATTCACACTAAACTGTTGAAATATGGACGTTCACTATCTTCAAACCATCTTATGAAGGGAATTCATTATCTTTAAATAATATACCATCTTAAAATGAACTAAGCCACGGAGACTACGAAATGCCAACAGATGGTTGAATTGTGTTTCCATAGCAAAGTAATTTATAATAATTGCTTTATGGATGCAAGTGCAATTTTCATTATATTCAATTCATAAAATGTTATCATACAGCTGCAACTGGTGATATTTCCTATTAGGGAAAGTGTTGAATATTGGAGTTCCTATGAAGCAATAATTAGCAGTCTGTCTAAACATGTACAAACTGCAGATTTGAATCTGCCTTTTCCTTGCAACCTAAAGTCTCCACTACGTTAAGCACAATTTGAAATCTTAAACCAGAAAGAAAAAAAAATCCCAGAGAAACACGTGCTGTGTTACTACAGCCCTGCGCTTTTTTTTCAGACTTGTCAGTAATTTTAAGTTGATGTTTTCAGAAACATCCAACGATTTGACAAGTAACAATCTGAACAGGTGTTACAATGACACACATCTCCATTTCCTAGATGCAGTTTCAAATGTGTTTCTCACTTTATCATAAGAGGAAATGAACACTTGCCAGGATGCGGGAGGAAGTGGGCACCACAACTTGCAGTGTAAATTCCACTAAATCATAAAATATTAACTTCAGTGTTTAGTTTCAAGTGCAAAGCAGGTTATTTATCCAGAACAATAGAATCTTGAAGACCTGGAAAGGACTGCTTTGAGTTTGAATTGAGTGAGCATTATGTGTTCATTTTTAATATTACTTTAAAAGGATCAGTACATATCTGAATGCTTCCCGAGATTAGTTTTCGCTTTTTTTTTTTTTTTTTTAACCAGTAAATGATCTTCCCCTTACCTGTTTATTCCTAAGTAACCTGGCCTCACTCACATTTTTGCCCTACAGTGATCACAAAATACACGGTGACAATACAGGGTGCCCATAAAGTTCGCATGCAGTTGAAAATGGCACACTAATTTTAAATTGCACACGAACTTTTTGGACACCCTATGTATTTGCACTTGAAAAAATTGGATGGTAAAGGAATGTGTGTGAATCCGTTACCAACTCCTGACACAACAGCAACCCCATTATAACGAATTCTCATGGAAGTATACCAGAATGATAATGATGGTCATTACACAGAATTATGGACCACACCATTGATCGAATTTAGAGAACTGACAAGGAAAAATGCAGAGGGCTGCAAGATATTTGAATACAAGGCAGTTGCAGGACTGTGCAACAGACATTCTTGACAAGAAGCAGCCAATTATAGCTTAAATTTCTGGCACATAACCAGTTGTGATTAATAGTTTTCCATTACATTACAGACATATTATTAATGTATTAAAAATGTCAAGCTTTGGCAAGCACTAATATGGCATGGCTCAGTTAGGCTGCAGAATTTACATTTAATGAGCTCCCATTGACACAGAAAAAGATATTGACCATGGCATGTTACAGATCAGGAGCAGGGGGGCACTAAGTTGCTCTTTAATATAATCATTTGATTTTATTCTCATTTTTATGTTTGTACCATCACATAAAGGGGTGTCCTTCATTTCAGGGTCTCCTTCCTCCCCAGTGCCACATACACTTCAAAGAAAAATCCTCTAAACTTCAAATTAGTAAGAAATTAAACCTATGAACTTCCATGACACACAATGGAAAAGAAGCCTCTGCCCAAACCAGGAATTTGCTATTAAAGCATAATGGTAGGGTTTTCAAACAAAATAAAACGATGAAAAAAGAGAATATGATTTACACCTTAACCTCCATTACCTAATATGGCCCTGGTTCCCATCTGGCTAAGCTTTCAACCAGGTTAAAATTATCAATAGCTTCTTAAAAGCTAGGTCACCACAGCAAATAGCTAGGCAAACCCATTATGAGAAGGACATTCAATGATATATGTGGGGAGTTAATATACTAAACGTGTATCCCCTCCAGCCCATAAGTGAACTAATTGCCAAGTACTGTGGCCTTTGAATTTGCCTTAGGGGTCTGTCTTTGTCACCTAAATAAGAACAGCTGCAGATGAGCTCTGGGCAGCCCCCATTCTAGTTCTTTGCAAACCTTGGAAACTCCCTGTAATCGAATAATGCCGTCACCTGTGCCTGGAACTTAAGTATTGAGACTGTCTCCTGGACAAAAATACCTGTTAATATGCTGCAAAGACTTCACAGCCCTCTGGTAAATAAATTTGTGGAGCCAATGAAAAAAGATAAAATTATGTCACGGCCCTCAAGTTGACAGGTATTATTGATCGGGACTAAAATGGACTATAAAATGGCTTTGCAGACATAGAACGCATACATTGTCCAGGATTCTGTAGCTAATTCTCTTCACCACTTTGGATTAACTTTGCAGAAGGCATTTCACAGGCCCTTTCTCTCCTCTGGAAAGGAAAAAACAAAAAAAGCCTTCCAAAATATTACATGGAAGGAATAATAATTAAAATGATAGACAACGATATTCCAAAAACAATTGCCAATTTCATCAACTGAAAGGAAAATACTGCCAGTAAATCTCCTAATCTAACTGGCTCCTTTGAACATTCATTTTGTTATATAATCTCACTAGGAGGTGGGAGTGGTGGGAGTGGGCCCTTTGTTTCATAAATATTTCCCTCTTCAAGGGGTACCTGAAATAGATAGCTATTGACTCATTCCTACTAGACATGAATGATTTTATAAATATGCATGTTTCTGAGTGGGAAATAACAAAAGGAAAATTGACTCTCATCATATACCATTGAGTAAAATATATAAAGAGACAAATCCATACATATTTCTCAACCTATCAAAATCAGCAGCTTCTAACATAGTCAGAATGAAATTCATTACCTAAGATGTTTTATCATGTATTCAATCCTTTTTTGGACTTATTTGTTGTGAAGGAAGCATTTTCTAGTCACCTTAATGAGAAACATATGCTTCTATCCTTTTGTTAACTGGCTCTGGAAATAGAAGAGATTTAACACACACTGCAATATCATTGGCGTACCTTACTCACACTTGATTGGAAATTATGAGCCATGGTCTATCATGAGATTTTTAACAAAACCAAGTAACACACCTTACTATTTGAAATATCTCTATTTTCACCCAGAGAAGACTGATTGGAGACACTAGAGGACACATATTTTATAGAATGTCTGGGGCTGGAATAAAACATACAATTATTTCAACATCAGGTAAGCCTGAAAAAACTCTGGTGTTTAATTGTCATGTAAGTAACAAATATTTCATGCTCAGACAGGGAAGTTCAGAAATCCAAGGTCTCAAATATACAAACGAGAAACCTACACCCACCTAAAGTTTTGACACAAAATTTTGGATTCTGAAAATAAAATTATTTTTAAAGGTAGGCTAAACCTCTTACTAACCTAAGACCTGACTGACTAATATGCCCCCTTCTATTAAACAACATAATTCATACACACATGTTTTTTCAATGATAATATATAACTGATTTTCTCAGGTGAATACAACGGTATTTATTTGTAAGAGCCTCAGTGCTTCTGTAACTCTAAAACTCTCTCCAAATTTTTATAACACTTACTAAGCCTATCAACTAAATGTGTAAAGGCTTAACTTTTTAAACATATTCCCTGATGTTTTTCAGAATAGAGGCAAGGACAGGTATTTGCACCAACTGGAGATATACAAAGGAAACTGCAAAATACATTAGCCTCTTCTGAAAAAAGCTAACCTGAATCATTCTAGCACACATGCCCAATGACAGCTGACAAAACAAAAAACTTAATAGGAAAACAGCCTTATGTCTAAATAAACTGCTTCCTGACAAAATTTTTAAGATTGTTCCTCTTAAGTTTCACGATAAGAAGTATCATTAAATTAATAGCCCAATATATAGAATCCTGAATTCCCTCATGTTGGTCTTTAGTGGCAAAATATATCTCCTTTCACAGCATCCAGAAAATAAAAGTAAAGATTTCCCTTTCGTATGTCAGCTAGAACAAGGTAATGTGTGAAATACTTGATGCATTTTTTACTGGGCATGCTGATCCACATGCAGAGATCCCAATTTTATCTTAATGAAAAACTGAAAGTTGCTTATCTTCAAAAAGAATCTTGGACAGTTATTGTGCTGCTTTTTCGTTGCCAAAGAGAAAGGGAGGCGGGCAAGGCATTCAAAGTGACACAGTTCAAAATACTTAAGGAAATGTGGGGCTGCTAATTCTCTCCCAGGTTCAAGACGCTCCTCAATTGCCAAACTTCCCCCCCACAGGGGAATTTTTGAAAAACTTTCCAACAAGCATAACCACTAACCATATTTGAATAAATGATTTTTTTTTAGGAAATCTTTCTGGGGTTTTTTTTTTTCCTTTCTATAAGAGAAAAAAACTTTTAGTATTTTCAGTCATAAAACAGGGTCTTATTTCTAGAGAAAATCTACTGCCAGATTCACCATATGTTTAGTGGAATTCTGAATCTTACTCAGAATTTTCCATTCCAAAGATCGACAATTTGTTATGATAAGGAGTGGCTCTATTATTTCCTGTGTGAAGAGGAGAATGGAAGAGGAAGGGGGAGACCCCCTACTCACTGGAAATCTGTACCCGATGCAATGATAGGAACCCAACCTGCGACTCTTCCAAATAAAGTTGCTTTAAAATCCCCGCTAGGAATTTTTCTTCCTTGCCCTGTAAGATGACAACCTACTCTTAAGTGGATTTCTGGAAAAAAAAAAAAAAATGGTCCCCGGTGAGGTTACTAAAATAAACAGCAGAGGGCGCAGTTTCTTTTTATATCTAAGTTTTCCCTTGTATGAATCACTTAATTGGTTATTTTAGGCCCAATAATATTCAGTATTATTTGTATCATATATAGATATCCATAGACCCATACAGGAGAGCAATTTAATGCCTCTAGCCGAATCCATTAACCTATTAATGTCATGCCAGTAAAGAATCTGAGGAAATACACCAAACAGCATTCCTACACCAAGTCCTACCCTCTTGCAATTTTCCTTTCTCCCCAGCTGCCCAGCACGGGATAGCAACGCTTTAATCTCACACCAATAAAGGGGATTAAAAGAAGGGGACTACAAAGCTCTCGGTGTGGCAACTAGCTCTACAGGGCCGGCAACGGGGCTAGTGTCCCCCTGTTTCCCCTAAAGCAAAGGGACTTGGCAGAAGGAAATAAAACGATAGGCGTCCTGAGCGGTGTGTGTGGTCAGGTGGGAGCGAGGGGAGCGCGGCGCGCCCGCCGGCGGGGTTGGGACTCGCAGCCCGCTCGGGGCGCACCCTCGCCGGACTCGCGTGGGGGGAGAGTGTACGGTGTGTGTGCGCGCACCGGCTCCGCGCGCTGCCTCCTCAGGGTGCTTTCCAAAGTTCCTCGCCACCCGGAGCCTTCCCTCCCGCCTGTGGATTGCACCGGGGGGTCCCGGAGAGAGGGAGGACGCCCGGGGGAGAGGGGCAAAGAACAGGGGCGCGGGGCTCTGGAGGAGAGGGAAGCCGGCTGCACTTACCCGGTGGCCGGTTGGCCCGGGCGCGGGGCCGCAGCCGAGCCGACGGCGCGGGGCGGCGGCCCTGCACAGCCTGGTCCGCCTCGGGCGGCGGCCGCAGCAGCGGAGCCCGCGGGCGGCGCACCGGCTGGCGGCGGCGGCTCCAGCGGAGCCTCCTCCCGGGCGCGGGCGGAGCGGGAGGGGTGGGGGTG